TTTTGTGTTCATAAGTTTTGTGTTTTCTAGTTTCGAATTTAGGACCTCTCACACTCTGTGCAATACGGTGTTAAATCGAAGGGGCGGTTCTAAATAATATTAAAGGAAATGAAAAATCGTCATTTCTTTCAAAGTGCCTGTCTGTCTGTAGGACATTAAATTATTATATGATAAAAAAAATTATTACAAAGAGCATTTTCCTGATACATTTGTATGGTACAATAAATTTTGTAATGGGTAGGTAAATGACAGATTCTACTCTGTTTTTGTACCTAAACCTGGTATACAAAGGCATCAATTCTATAACTCTAATAATATATGTACAGAGAAGGAACATTGTATGGTAGTAATATGTAGTTCACTTTAGCAGGTGTCAATGAACTAATAAACAGCTGATTAAATTATTTCATATCTCTTAATTAAACGAAATTATAATTGAGTTTAATTTAAAGGATAACGGTTTGACATTAGGAAAATATTCCTAATAATTCGAACTGTTATTTATGTGTCTATTTGCAAGTTTAACTATGTAACATGATTTGTAACTCAATTAGACTTGGTTTGTGATTAAACGGTGTATATTAAGGTGGAACATATTATATTGCGATTAGTAGCTTTTATATATCTATTATTATTTATTATTTATGGATTTCATTAACTAAAAACATACAAATTCCTTGATTTTCTTGGGTCCTTACACAAGTACCTTCTCAAATCATGCTCTCCATCTACTAAAAATGGTAAAACATATTTTATTTCCTTCTGAGATCCTTTATAGTAAAGATAGCCATGTCCTTGCAGCAAACACTTTTAAAGTACTTCCAGACAATGTTAACTGAAAGAATAAATAATAGAAAAAAGTTGTATTTGCCATTAAATACATAACAAATCGTAACAACAATTTCATTTAATACGACCGCCTCGTTAGTCCGATGGTAGGAACATATATAGCTAATAAGTACTTCCAGACAATGTTAACTGAAAGAATAAATAATAGAAAAAAGTTGTATTTGCCATTAAATACATAACAAATCGTAACAACAATTTCATTTAATACGACCGCCTCGTTAGTCCGATGGTAGGAACATATATAGCTAATAATTACCGGATCGCGGGTTCGATCTCTACGGCGTCCAACATAGACACATTCTTATCGATTTATAATTTTGAAACATGTTGGACTTCACTTGGGAATCTGTAAACCTATTGAATGAGTGAGAAAATTCTGTGCGGGTCACGAACCATCGTCCACACACTAAAAAACTGTAAAGTTTATTGGTGATAGGGTTTCAGTCTGTGGATTTCCGAATATCCAAAGCCAAATTAAATCGACAGTGCACCTTGTGTTATGTTATGTTATGGTTTGGGTATATCACTTTCTATCAAGTAATATGCTTGTCTGTCTTATATTATAAACATTGTTTTGTAGAATCTTGTACTGCGTCTCTATGTTAAGCATAAATTGAACATTTGAAACCATTAAAAAATTTAAATAAAACACTTTAACGATTTAAACGCGAAACGTCGGGCCGAAGTTAAAAATCATTTTCAAATAAGTTTAACTAATATATCGCGTTTTAAACCGTTAAAGTGTTTTATTTAAATATTATGTACTACTCGCGTATATGTATATATAACTATAGACAGTATTTACCATAAAAAATGTTTTTTAACAAGTTTTTTCGATGTTCAATGTTCACGAAGCGATCTCTAGCTACCATGCAAAATTGAAACATCTTAATTGGCATGGCTTCAAATTTAATGCCATGCACTTATATGCAATAAACATTTTCCAAAGTTTGTCTTAATTGCGCGTCGTAAAGCGTTAATTAGTTTCGTGATTTATTTCCTTTCGTTTATCTGTGGATTCTCACATAAAAATGACATTGATCATTACGTGTTGGAATCAAATGTGTTAAATTTCAAATTCGTCACACGATTGATTTGTATGACAAAAATGAAAACACATCTTGCGTTTACTGATTTTTCTATAGTTTCAGACAGTGTAAATCCAGAATTATATTCTCGAGTTTCTGGTCTTTAAAGAATAAATCTAGCCAATAACTTTACGCTCATATATAAGGTATTATTATAGAATAGAATAGAATTACAAATAAAATATTAATTTACTAAGCCAATAGAAAATAAAAAAGGTGCCTCCGAAAAGGGGAACTCAGCTATGTTGAGACTAATGTCTAAACACAGATATTCTTTGGCTCCTTCAGAGGCCGAGCTAACACAAGAAAGACAATTTCACATTCTGTCAATTTAGAACATTTAAAAACAACAAAGTTACATTAATTTATAGGTACATAATAAAAAAATATAAGGCTAATAAGGCTATAAAAAAGGCTGTCTCTTGTTTATCTTCTTCTTTGAAATTCAGCGATTTGTAATAAATCTATGGACAAGTCACACCGCAACGCTCGAGTCGTTTTTGTCGTGGAAAATATAAATGATTCGCATTTAATTGTCATCAGGTGCACGCCATCATTTACATAAGCATCTATGAACAATGACACTGCATCATTTCCATACAATTATTGAATATCGGTTAAGTGACGTATGCAAATAACTTGAGGTTCCGTTGCTATCATTATTAATGTTATAATTTGTAAGATCTCTTAAAGAAGATTTCAAACAGGAAAAACTATTTAAATAAGACACTTCAGCAGTTTAAAACACGTACTATCTTCTTTAACGGCTTTAATTTTAACTACGGCCCGACGTTTCGGATGCTGTCACTTTATAGCTTTAAATATATCTTACTATATAGCAGATGGCTTCTGTATGTATTCGTCTATAATCAAAATAATAGGAACTCATCTGTTGAAAAACACATTACATACTTTAAACTTGTTGGAACGTTTTTATTAAGTTAGCTCGTAACTTTTAGCCATCTGAAAACAATACTAGGGCTTTTTAAGCCAGTACACACAATACTGTACTTGTGTGTACTGTGCTTAAGAATGGAATAATAGGATTTAGTCATATTAAAAATCAATATTTAAGTAAGCATTCCATCTTTTAAAATGAGGTAATTGTTACAAACAAATGAAAAACTAACGTAGGTAAGTAACGTGTTCAATAACTACATTATTAGGTTTCTACAATTTTATTCTACAACGATAACTGAGCTAAAATAATTTAACTTTGTTTTAAGGTTTTTTTTTAATTAAAAATCCGCGGATTTCTAAACAAGGTGTCATCAGAAGATCATGTTTTCTAGAGAGGAAATAGCATATTAAAAATACCCACATGTGCGAATAAATTACATTAATGAGGTGTAACTTCTAGAATCAGTATTATCATATCTCAGGTTAATTTTTCATTCAATAAAAGTCTTATTTAACATTGGTATAGACTACAGTTTAAACCTATACAAATATAAACCTAAAGAGTATGTTTGTTTGTTTGAACGCGGCAATCGCTGAAACTGCTCGTTAGAATTTAAAAAAAAACTTTTTCGTTTCGTTAAAGCATTTATCGATCGGCTATAAAACATCGCTGTGTCTAATATAAGCGATGAAACAATAGAAAAATGATTTATCCTTGTGGGTTTCCGATGCGTACGGTGAGAAAACGGTTTAAGATATCCAAAAAATATGATAGAAAAGAATGATTACTCTTTAAATGATCAAAAAATGTCCATGATACTATATGTACATCTTCTAAGATTAACTTGCAAGAACGACAGAATGCAACCGACTGCATAGGTTAAAAATTAAAATTTGTAAAGATGAAGAGAAGGTTTGCAATAACAAATTTGGATGCCCGAAATAACTATAAGCGGACGAAGTCGCTGACACAGCTAGTAGGAAATAAAGTACGTCATTCTGTTGACGTAAACACTATAGATGAGTTGTGAAAAAACTTCGTGATAAAACTCCGTTAGGTTATTATAAATTCGCGTCTGTCGAAATTGTCGTGTTTCGACTGCTAAAAAACTTTTAGTATGGCCAAACGGGTTTATTTTGTAAACAATGTGTGCGACAAATAGCCACTGTGGGAACTGGAACGGATCAGCGCTGTTGTGCTGCGGAGGCGCCAGTCGAATCCACCAAACCAGTGTGGTGTAAGATATAAGAGTTAAAAGTTTTTAATATTTAAAAAACCACCAATTCATATTGAGTGCAGTCGAATCGGTAGTTATAAGCGATAATGCAGACATACTGCCGCCGTAGCGGTTTACTATCGCTTTTAGTCTAACATATTATTCGACGTTTTTATCTTTGAATATAGCAATTATTATTACTGCTATTATATTAATAAGTATCTATATTAATTACAAGTAATGTAAAGTTTAATAATTAAGATTAAGTATTGGTTTCAGTCTGTGGATTTCCAAATATCCAAAGCTAAAATTCGCCAGCGCATTTTGTTTAGTTGTTATATGGCTGGGTTATTTTACCTACCATCAAAGAGGCCAGACCACCAGAAATCATCCTAATGCTTGTCTCTCTCCTCTGTCGCAAAAAATACCTTTCTATATTATAGCAAGCATTTTGTCTGTTTCTAAACATTGATTCTAATATATATGTTTTCAAAGAAGAGTTTTAATAAGTCTATATGTGTCATAAATATAATTGTATGCAGAGAGAACCCGCTACAGTCAGTCACTTAGGGACAAACATTTGACATATCTCAGGTAATTAGAAAGAGCCCATCCGGGTATAATACGTGATTCAATCTTGGAGCGAAACGATTAAATGACTCGACGATACGCGATCGAGACAATCGATATAGAATCGATACTAAATCGATAAAATCCTTTTATATATCCTAAAAATAGTATTCAAAATACGCTTTGTTGTTTACGCTAAGTAACTTCCTTAATAAAAACGCATTTTAATCATGCCCAAAATCATTTGATTTAAATAAAACACTTTAACGGTTTAAAACGCGATATATTAGTTACGTGTTTGATGGTCTAGGGTTACCCTTGACTGCCCAGGTGTCCAGTCCTGGGCAGTGTTGGTTCTATACTTAAAAAAATTGTAATGTCGGTAATTCTTTGTACAAACTTACCACTACATACACCACACCGCACTCATCACCAACGCACGTTGAGAGCACCGGCCCTTTCCCCCAGCCCCGGTTATCATCACTACTTTGGTACAGATACTCTAACCAACTCACACTGAGACAACCTCAAGTTACGCGAACCATCCCTCTTATTGGAGAGTGGATATGAACAATAACAACAGCAAAATTAATTCAACAAAACGATTATCATCTTCACTCTTTGGTCCTCCAGCTCTTTGACGGAAAGTAGGGAGAAACAATTGTCATTTATTTGTGATATAGGTAGGTGATCAAACCCATGTGCTTAATTCGACCGAAACACTCTTTTCTAGACAATCCGCCCAAGTAAGCCATCGCATATCCTACAAATAAAGTCTGGAATGTATCAAATATTTTGGTTCTCATAACACTGTCCTCTCTTTACAGTTAACCAGGAGGCTATTGAAGACCGCGTGCCTCGCATTTTACCAGGAATCGACGAAGAAAAACGGGAACGATTGAAAGTTGAAGAGCCACGACAATACCTCGGACATGCACGATTCGGGAATGATCTGACATCGACACCAGTTAACTGATTTTTAACTATTTGTAGTTCTCGGAAGTCCGTTTAATCCGCTTTTTATGCTCTTTGTGTAGAACTTGTTAACGCTATACAACGTTTAGTGATGGTTACGTAACTGGATCTAAACTTGTTATTTTTTTGTTTAAGGACGAGATTGGATCTCGTGGTTTGTTTACGGGAATACGGGAGTTGTGAATTCAAACTATTTATTATTGTTAAGTACGAAACGACGTTTTCGGTGCTTTTCAAACAACTGTTTTCAAAGACCCCGTAAAAGTTTTAAGTACTCAATATGGCGCAAATTGTTGTATTACATACCGTTGTCATTTTAATTTGTAAAAACAATGGGTAAAATTTAACCGTATTGTTATTGAAACAAATAACTCAGTTATATCTACTTGTAGTCTTTTAAAAATCGTCAGCGTTCCGTGCTGTTGCTCTTCCAATTGAGCTACCGAGTCCCGAGTCGTCGAGCTGACGATGCCGGTTCAAGTCCTGCCCGAGTCGAAATGTTTTTTCAATTTATTTTCGATTTTTAAACTGTATGCCCTCATGTGCAATAACATGTAAAAAATAATAAAGTTTTCAAAGTTTTTCAATAAATGAATATTTAAATATTCTTATTTATCCTAAAATCAAATCGAAATACCATTACCTTGTCCGAGATAAGGTAATGGTTTTACCTTATCTCGGACATATATTTTTCCAAAATAAATATCCGTCAAATTGTTTCAAATAAATACTATATTAATAAAATCGTTATATAATATGCTTTATGGTATTATTCTACTTCCATACTGTCAAAATTAATTGAAAAGTTTCTCTCATCAAAACACAAATCCACATCGTCATTTGTCATGTAAGTCTGATCGGGTCAGAGGGTGCCATCCGTCAACTTAGACAAACATACATGATCAATTATATCGGATTTGTTTATAACGTGGCTGAATTGTGTAACTTGACATTACGTTACATTGTAACCATGTTGACCTAGTACTCAAGATTTCCGTTAATGCGATCGGCTGTTCGATTTCCAGTTGTAACAAATATTTGCTTACATAGCCAGAGATAAACGAATAAATGCGCAGGTATATAAGATGTACCTAGCTACCGTAGCAGTTTTTACTTTGACATCCGAGACACCCTCCATCTTTTGTCTCCCCGTGGTTGCTGAAAGCATCCGAAACGTCGGGCCGTAATTTAAATATTTTCAAACAAATGTAACTCATATATATCGCGTTTTAAACCGTTGAAGTGTCAGTGTAAAATATTTTGTTTCTAAGAGAGAAGTGTTTTATACAATATATGATATTATAGTAAAATCGTGGTAGTACAAATTGATAAGCTTAGTCATTCACGTAAAAATCATTTAAAGCTCAGCACGACCATCATTGCTCTGCGTCATTGAGATAAAATCACGAAATAAATGACTAATATTCCGGTAATTGTCTGATTAAGATTTACTGAATATCAGAAGCGTGAGAATTTACATTTAGCTCCTTTAATTATTACGATTCGTAATCATCGTCATCACGGTTTAGTAGTTCCAACAGGACTTGGAGCAATTCAAAGGTATAGGTAGACTTTTTCTTTACGCTAGCTAAATTCATATTAGCCTATCTTTTATTTTTTCTCCACCACGACCTCTATTTTGAAAACTTGAATATTTCTCACATGGTTTTACAGTACGTCGTCGAATTTAAATTCGATTTGATTCAATTTATATCAGATTTTTTACACCTATTTTCTTGCACCATCAGGAATCGAACTAGCGATATCAACCACAGCGGGTCTTTCAGTTACTACGATAAGTGAATATAAAAACATGGATTTTATAAAAAAATATTGATAAAAAACTGCATACTTCCGGTATGTATTAATCTCGGTGTATGGAAGTGCATACATTAACTGACAGGTGTTTAATTGACCTGCGCGTGAGTCGATGGAAATCGATGCAATATTGTCACGATCATTATTTCCATATAAATCGAGTACGTCATGTGGAAATCTGATGACGGTATTACTGCAATAATTACGTATTGTAGATAATAGGTATTTGTAAATTTTTATCCCACAAAAATAATTTTCTAGCAAGATTAACGAATGTATATCGCGTTTTGAACCGTTAAAGTGCTTTATTTACATTTTTATCCCACAAATTAATGCGGGGTACGACCATTTTAAATATGTTAAAGAATACCAACATTCCATACGGGTCACGAACAACCGTCCACAGATAAAAAAGACGTCAAGTTTTGTCGCCTTTCGGTTTCAGTCAGTGGATTTCCGACTATCCAAACCCAAAATAGGCAGCGAATATTCTTTAGATGTTATATGAGGCAAACATGTGGTTGCATGTCCCCCTCTATATATATATTTTGAATAAAATACGTACAAGCTAATCGGGGTCACATAGTAATTACGTCCGCACTTGGCACGGTTATTACCTGTCACGCGTTCCTAGCTCTTGGAAATGAAGCGCGTGCGCAGATTATACGCGAGATGATATGTTATTTACACGACTGCTTAGTCGACGAATGTAATTTATTTTCGATATTCGTGTTTAAGGTTCGCTTGGCATATATTACACGTGTTAAAACAAATTTTTAAATTTACTGTGCCTGTAAATAATAAAACAATCTCAAAAATGTAAGCCTTCCTTTGACAGGCTCGTTGGTATAACCAATGGATCGTGGGTACCATCCCCACCGGATCCAAATGTTTCTTATCAATTTATTTTTTTCTGAATTATGTTGGACTACAACCTACCACTCGTTTAATACCCAGATGGTATTAAACGGGTGGTAGGAATATCTAAATTTCGTGTTTTATTTAAATATATACTACTTGCCCAAGCTACAGACAGTACTTAATTGTGATGTTCCATTCCCTTAATACATACCTACGATAGACGTTGTGTTTAGTAGAAAATATGAACCACTAATATGTGCTTATCCTACGAAATTATTAAACAGGAAACCGCAGCAAAGCAGTTACATAATAAATGAAGTTAAATGTCATATTCACTTTTCATTTGGGCGAGAGGTCCCTTATATATTATTCAAGCTAAGGTCCGGAATATCACTTACTCCCCAAGGCTCGCGTTTATAAATTATAGAGATTTAGAAGATTTAACGTTTGTCCCGCTGTTATTTATTTATCGTGTTTGACTAATTTTATGCTTACATAACACAATTGTTGCTTGTGCTTGATTTTTATTTCAAATTCAAATCTCAATAGGTCGATAGCACATCTGCTATAAAGCTAGGGTACATCTCGATTCAGATGGAGCCGTGCATATCTATCATTGTGTTATTTTTCAGACCTTTTTACCTATAGTTTATCTATACCTTTTATACGTTTTCAAGCCATAGTAATAGTACCTAACTTTACCGCACAACTAAATCAGCAAATTCAATAATTGTAAGATTATCTCTCAACTAAATAGATCATTATTATAAAGAGTCCTTTGATGTTACCTAACAAATGCGTGGGCGGCTTGTTGCGTCCGTGGCCGTGGGCGTGGGAATAACAAGCACACTGATTTATCAACCATTATCCGTTTTAACACGACTTTAACTATGATAAATTTCGCTTATTTTAGCGAATTACACAATAACTCGTCAACCGTGTACATTTATCATGAGGTAATTGGGTATATGTTAGGAGCATCTATTATTAATATAGAAGATTCAGCACAAGTACTTTTAATATAATTTTGTTTAGATGAACTGTTAAATCCTTCCTTCTTTACAAAACCCAGCCACCGTTAAAAACGATAGAATCATTTAAATAAAGAATAAGTTAGTTCATAGCGTTACATTCGCTGCAAAGTTTTATCAATATCGATACAGTCGTTGCATAGTAAGAAATGTATTTTTCAGAAACATCCACATAATTAAGTAGGATGAGAAATTTTCATCAATCAATGATCACAGCAATTTGTCTTTAAACATGGTTTAAATAGCTAATAACTCAAAGATGGCTCTTACAATGTGACTAAGTGCGTGTCGGATTCGCGCACTAATGATTCCGTATATGTAGCTATATAAATAAATAAAACATCTTTGTACTGTTATGTGATATTTAAGAAATGTAAATAATGTTTACAATCTACAAGTACATATAATACCTGGCATGTACTAGATTATTTGTAAGTAAAAGTAGATTTATAAGGCACTCTATTGGGCGTAGGGTACCTATTCCATGGTTCATGCGTCTTGGTTTTGGCCAGTAGGCATTCAGTATGAGCTGTGTTATTACTAATTCTCTTTTCTAGATCGACCACTGCTTCTGATTCTGACTGTTCTGATCTGTGTTTCTCATGTTTTGAAGGGATTTACTGTAACCCTCTATTTATTGTTTTGTTTTATATTTATTATTATTAGTAGTATAACTACCGAAAAATCGCATTTGCTATATTTTGTTATGTACATTTAATTTATGTTTTTATTTATCTCTAAATAACTTTTTATAACAATTTATGAGAATTATTTTTTACGAACAGGTCAGTCTTGTAAGGTCTCATTTTATCCCTCCGATACGGAACCCTAAAAACTGGATACTGCGCCGATAATTGACATCCGGGTGTATCTTCTGATTGAAAATGTTTTGACACAATTTTTTAGCATTTTAACGGTGCGACTAATTTGTCAAACGAGTTTCGCGGCAAAAAGTACGATCTTGAGATAGATTGTAGAGTTAGATATTGGATAGAGTGACTTTTGTACAAGATAAAATTATTGTTATTATACATATCATTTTGTGAGTGACAACATATAGGGCGATTCATAGTTACAATTGAAAATAAAATACATTAAAAATGCTGGAATATCTAAGAAACACGGGAATTAATACTAATCTACCCTACATTGTTAAGTAAACATTATTAAAATTTCGTTTGTACTTAAATATACTATACGAACACGTGCGTGATGAAAGATCATGTAAAAAATACATTAATAAAAAGAAATAACGTATAGAAACTAGGAAAGAGATAGAAAAGGAAAAACA